CAGCCCAACACCGTGCAGGATGCTTGGCATTTGCCAGAGAACACCAGGATTGGTAAATTCACCACTGGCACCCTGTGCTCTTCACAGATGAAAGCACGTTCACTCTGACATGTGACAGACGTGACAGTCTGGAGATGTGGAGAGTGATCTGCTGCCTGCAACAGCCTTCAGCATGACCGGTTGGGCAGTGGGTCAGTAATGGTGTGGGGTGGCATTTCTTTGGAGGGCCACACAATCCTCCATGTGCTCTCCAGAGGTAGCCTGACTGCCATTAGGTACCGAGATGAGATCTCCAGACCTCTTGTGAGACCATATGCTGGTGCGGTTGGCCCTGGGTTCTTTTTAATGCAGGTCAATGCTAGACCTCATGTGGCTGGAGTGTGTCAGCAGTTCCTGCAAGATGAAGGCATTGAAGCTATGGACTGGCCCGCCCATTCCCCAGACCTGGATCTGATTGAGCACATCTGGGACATCATGTCTCGCTCCATCCACCAACATCACGTTGCACCACAGACTGTGCAGGAGTTGGCAGATGCTTTAGTCCAGGTCTGGGAGGAGATCCCTCAGGAGACCATCCACCACCTCATCAGGAGCATGCCCAGGCGTTGTAGGGAGGTCATACAGACACGTGGAGGCCACACACAATACTGAGCTTCATTTTGACTTGTTTGAAGGACATTACATTAAAGCTGGATCAGCCTGTAGTGTGTTTTTCACTTTCATTTTGTGTGTGACTCCAAACCCAGGCCTCCATTAGTTAATAAATTTGATTACCATTGATGATTTTTGTGTGATTCTGTTGTCAGCACATTCAAACTTGTACAGAACAAAGTTTTCATTGAGAATATTTCATTCGCTCAGATCTAGGACGTGTTATTTGAGTGCTCCCTTTATTGTTTTGAGCAGTGCATATATGAGTTAAATAACYTTTTTTATGTAAAAGTTAAAATATGAACCAACCGAGACTGAATAAATAACTTTTTTTGAATATTTGAGTGAAAAAACGTTAAAAAAATAACACTGGTGGGCTTTGTAAACGTTTCATTTTCTTACAATACTGTTTTTTTCCAGTTAACCTTAAAACTCACAAATTTGTTTTGTTTCTCAAAACATTCTGACATAAATTTTTCTGTTTGCAATTGTTGCACACCAGGTAGTATTTTTTTTTTCATCCAGTGTCCATTTAGGTCCTCAGTAGAATCTTTTCAAATTAATCATTAATAATCTGCAGTCTGACAGTTGCACTTGGTCAGACTTCGTAATTAATAGATTTGTGCAATAGGRTCCAGGTCAAAAAGGCATTTCAAAACACATTTTAGCTTTGTCATGATGACCATCACRAGTTCCTCATTTTGTTGAGATGTCCAGATTAAAGCTGTATAAAGTGTCTGCTCTTTGATGATGAATCTGAAGCTGCAGGCTGACGGCGAGGCGAGGAGAAGAAGCTCAGTCTGCAGTGAGCTGAACAGCCAACCTGTCAAACTGTTTTCTGTTTGCTCGGTCCTCAGGCTCTCCTCTGCACGGGACAGATTCTGCTGAAGTGTAAGATTTATTTATTTATTTTAGGCTTCTGTGGAAAAGTCAAAAGGATAGGTACTTGGGCTTTTTAATAACAATTGTATATCTGTATATACAATAGTATATAAACTGGAGCTACTGGTTTTGGTGAGCATGCTSGTGTCCGACATGGTGGGAACCATGTTCCCACCATGTCGGACCATCTTGACATTACCATCCCACC